TTCCAATATAAAAATATGGTGCGTTCGGGTAACGCATAATGGGGTACAGTCAAACCATTTTATAAGGCGTCAAATTTGGCCCAAGCCCAAATGACTCGCCCAACCCACCCAAGGTTAGGCTGGTTATTGACTTGCTCATTTATTGAACTCAACCATCTTGACCCGACCCAACCCATCTCAACTTATTTAGAGTTGGGTTGATTTTTAGCCCAAATTGATCCAGGAATAACTTTGCCAAAATATATTAAAAATAAATTTGTTTTTTTGTTTGATGTGTTATATATGACCATAACAAAAGAAAAAAAGTCTTAAGTATTTTGTAATTATACAATTCATAAGAAAACAACATATATTAACTAAAGATTGATAACAGTTGGGCGGGTTGGGCTATGACCCAAATTTTAGTCCATCTTGACCCAATTCATCTTAGCCCAAGTAACTTTTGGGCGAGTCAAATGACCTGCCCAATTATTGATTCAACCCGTTTTGACCCGCCCAAAATCGGCCCAACCCGACCATATGACAATCATACTCCTTTATAATATCATTGCTATATAACAATCATTCACTATAAAAGCCAAATTTCCTTTGGAACCAATTTTCATGTTATGTTATAATATATTCTTTATAACAGCGCTTCGCTATAATAGCCAACAAAATTTGAAACAAACAAGATTGTTATAGAGAAGTTTGGCTGTATATTGTAGGTTCACCTTTGCATCTGTAAAACTCATTGAGGGTGTCTGCACGAAGTTGCAATGCTTGCTTCAAGAATTTCCAAAAAAATGGAAGGTTTCTTAAACTAAGGAAAATACTATCAGCCAGGTCGAAGATTGACTTGCTAAGGGCATCTCCAACCTTTACCCCATTTTTGGTCCCTAAAATGGGAAATTTCCCCATTTTGGGGACAACAAGTTACTCCAACCATTCCCCTATTTTTTTTTCCCAAACTTTTTTATATTCTTCTCTCTCTTCTATATTATATTATTATCTTTTATTTCAATTTTATTTTTAAATTTCCATTAAACAAATTCCAACTTTTATACCATTCATTTTTTGAGATAATTATATATTTTTTGTACAATTATAACTTATAATAAAATTAACTTACAATTTTACATAAAAATAATAAATGCACAAAAATTAATTTATCAAAACTATACACCAAAGTTAAGATGTAAAATTAATATTATAAAGACATTACATAAACATAATTAGGTATATATAAAGAGATAAATTAAAAGATTAAATAATAAAATAATAATAAAAAAGTGATGAATAGTAATTGAGGAGATGAATAGTGTATCCTCATATTTGAGGAAACACTATTCATCCCCCATTTTGGGGACAAAAACGAGGGAGGGTTGGAGCTAAATTACCCCAAAAATTGCTCTCATTATGAGGAATGGGGTAAGGTTGGAGATGACATAAACCTTAAGAATAAGGATACATCCTTAAAATCATAGAGTTGTATATGAAGCTATATAATTAGTTAAACGGCAAAGGGCCAAATATACCCTTCTATTTTCAAATATTGTTTATTTGTACCCTTCATTATATTATTGGGCTATTCATACCCCTACTGTCATACTTTGAACAAAAATACTCCTATTTTGGATGGAGTGCCACGTGGCAGCACCAGATTAAAATGGCCCATTTTTTTTACCCAACCCGTTTTACAAAAAAACCACAACCCGAACCATAATTTCATTTTTCAATTTTTTTAAAAGAATTTTCTTTTTGTAAAACTTAAAAAAAAATTGCAAAATATTTTTGTTTTTTTAAACTGAGTAGATACTGAAAAGAATTTGCAAAATAAATTGTAAAAACTGAAAAAATTGTTGTAAAAACATATTTGTAAAAACTGAAGAAAAAAAATTCCAGTGTTTAACAAAATATTTCGTTTTTTTAAAAACTGAAAAAAATATTTCTAGCAAAATATTTTCGTTTTTTAAAAATGCTTTTTTTCAGTTTTTTTAAAAAATTTCTTTTTGTAAAAATTGAAAAAACAAATTTGTATAAACTGAATTTTGTTTTGTAAAAACAGAAAAAATATATTTTCGTTTTTTAACAAAATATTTTCGTTTTTTAAAAACTGAAAAATTATTTTCAACAAAATATTTTCATTTTTGAAAAATATTTTTTTCATTTTTTCAGTTTTTTAAAAGAATTTTGTTTTGTAAAACTGGAAAAACGAATTTGTAAAAACAGAAACAAAATATTTTTGTTTTTCAAAAACTGAGATTTAAAAAAAAAATGGAAAAAAATGAAAATAAGGGTCGGGTTGTGGGTTTTTTTAAAAAAAAAACAGGTCGGGTAAAAAAAAGAAATGGGTCGTTTTAATCTAGTGTTGTCACGTGGCACTCCATCCAAAATAGGGGTATTTTTGTTTCAAAGTATGACAGTAAGAATATAGATAACCCAATAGTATGACGATAGGGGTATAGATAGTATAACAAGGAGTAGAGGTAAACAATATTTAAAAGTAAAGGGGTATATTTATCCATTTGCCATTAGTTAAATGTAGCGTACATGTAAATTATGAATACTTCAAAAACAAAAACAAAAACAAAAACAAAGAATGCAGTTAAATGTTAATGAACCAGCTCCTTAGCTAGACTTATTATCTCACAAAAGGACAATAGTTGGCAACAAAAGACAGCATATAGTAGACCAAGACAGGAAGTCAGGTATGAAATTTTGGATTAGTCGAGCCAGTGAGTTCCAGCACCGGTTACTTAAGAGCCTGTTTGGAAAGTCATATAGGAATTGGATTTGGATGTAATTGGGTGTAATTACACAGTTTGACATATTTGTTTGGCCAAGTAATTACTTGGTCAGTATGGAATTGGGTATAATTGGAGGGGTGTAATTACACTCTCCAATTCTCAAGGGGGGTGAGAATTGGTGGTAATTACACTGTGTAATTACAAGGTTGCTTTTTATTTTCTTTCCTTTTAATTTTTGTCTTAATTTATTTTCTTTATAACTTTTTATTTCTATTATTTTAATTTTATTTTTACTTTTAAATTTCTTTTAAAATTTTAAAATATATTTTTCTTTGTACATTATTTATCTTTTATTTCTCTTCCTTTACTTTTTGTTATTTCATGTAATTGCTTATATTTTATTTATTATTTATTTTATTATTCTATTTTTTGAAACTACACCTCCTAATATTATAAATAATGAGTCATTAACAAACTTGTCATATAATGAGTGATACAATTAAAGTGGAATTTCATTGTTGAATGTGGTTATAAACTTATGGTTCATAATCTAAAGTTATAGTGGGACTTACTATTATTATGTTGGAATTTGACATATGCTAAATATTTTTTTTTGGATTTTGAAATTGTGTTATATTTATGGTTCCAATTTACTTGTTTTAGTAGTATTTGCTCACGTTGCATGTTGTTTATTCTTTAATTAGAATTGATAGATCAGTTTTGTCAAATATTTGAATAATGTTATGGCATTATAATTATAAATATTAATTTATTTTATCAAATATGAATTCCATGATATTCTTACAAAAAAAACATATATTTTTAGTTTTTGTAAGTATCTAAACTAAATATTATTAATTTAAACTATATATATATATATATATATAAATTATTTTTACAATATTAGTTATAAATATATGATTACGTATTAATGTATATTCACGAAAAATATACATCTTAAATACCAAATATAATATCATTTATACCTATAAAAATTTATAAGCAGATATTTATTATATTAACTTTTAAGTTTTGATAATTACTTAATTTAAAATTTAATCTAGCTGTGTAATTACATTTGTGTAACCAAACAGTAAACTTGTAATTACATTGTGACAAACAAACAGGTCATCGTAATTACACAACTGGGTAATTACTAGGCTGTGTAATTACTACCCTAGTAATTACACCAATTTCAATTACAGAGTGGCTTTCCAAATTGACTCTAAGGGATCGTTTGGTAGGATGCATTAGATAAGCTAATGCATGCATTGGCTTTGTGTATTAATAATACATTATTTGGTAAACATTTTGAACATATGCATTAGTTATGCAGGCATTAGTTATACATCATATTTGGTATTATCCTATGCATAATTAATGCATAGAAAACAATAGTATTAGCAATGCAATGGGTTTTAAAGCATGCATTAGCTTAGTTAAAGACAAAATTGTCCTTCAAAATTTATGCTTGATTAAAATATGCTAGTTAGTATATTAATGCAAATTCAAAATAATCCAAATAGTGAGAAATAAAATTATATCCCTAGTAAATAAATAAATACTTAGCATATTTCCTTTTTTATAAATAAATATTTAATATTATTTTACAATATAGGTAGACAAATAAAATAATTTTTTTGAAACTTTTTCATATAAAAACATTTCTCAACATATGTTTCTTTTAAAAAGTTAAGAGTGTGGACTAGTTTTGATGGTATTTTTATAAACAAACAATTCTTTTAGAAATTGTGCAATACTTTAATACATCAAACCAAACAATGAATAAGAAATATGTCAGTATAACTAATACCAGCATAACTAATGCAAGCATAACTAATACCAGCATTACTAATACACTCTATTCAACATTATTCTTATGCACCCTACCAAACGACCTCTAAGTGAGGAAAGATGTAGAATTCTCTTGTTAGTAATTTAGTTCACTTAGGATAGTTTGGTACAATAGTGGGATATCCCAGAATATTAACATGTCCCATGATTAGTTATCCCACCTTTTATATGCTACTATTTTATGTAAAAGTTGGCTTGGCATTATTTAATATCCCAAACCAAACATGGGATAAAATAAATCCCAAATTTTATCTCGAGATTGTTATTCTTGTCTCATTTACCAAATGAGAACATTACTTTGAAACTTAAACTCCAAGAGAACTATCTCATCCAATGCATGCACAACTACTTTAAGATGGTTACTGCTTTGACAGAACGAAATTTATACTCGGGCAGCATCACCAAACATCGAGTGGATTAAAACCGATTAAAGCAAACAGTTAATGATAAAGGCAAACATGTAACTTTGTGATTCCTCAGAATAAGGACAACCCAAAAGCAAAAGACATCTAACTGCTACAATATCAATAGCACACCACCTCCATTCCTCAAAACTTATTCAACACATCTTGGTCTTCCATCTGATATGAGACCAATTCTTTTCCAGAAACAACATTCCAAACACTCCAAAATATCCCCAACGATAGTTTAAAGGAACAAGATACTATTGTCCTAACAAAATCCAAAGCATGAAAAGCATAACAATCAATGGCGTAAGAATGTGCTGTTTTTGCAGTCTCTTCTTTGTCTTCGCTTAGTACCTGTAGTGAGGAGGCTTGTAAGGACCTTCAACTGGTACACTAATGTAGTCAGCTTGATCCTTGGAAAGCTTAGTGAGCCTTGCTCCGAGCTTTCCGAGATGAAGGGCAGCAACCTTCTCATCAAGGTGCTTTGGCAAGACGTACACCTTCTTCTCATACTTGCCGGTGCTCTTCTCCTTCCACAACTCGAGCTGAGCAATGACTTGGTTAGTGAAAGAGCAGGACATCACGAAGCTGGGGTGTCCAGTGGCGCATCCCAAGTTCATGAGACGACCCTCGGCTAAGACAATGATACCGCTGTTGGTGTCGGGAAAGACCCATCTGTCAGTCTGGGGCTTGATTGTGATCCTCTTCACTCCAGGGAAGGTCTCAAGACCGAGCATGTCGATTTCATTGTCGAAATGACCAATGTTGCAGACAATGGCGTTGTTCTTCATTTTCCTCATGTGGTCAACCATGATGATGTCCTTGTTACCGGTTGTGGTAACGAAGATATCAACATCTGAAACGACATCCTCAAGGGTAAGGACCTGAAGACCTTCCATGGTAGCTTGGAGAGCACAGATTGGATCAATCTCAGTCACGATGACACGTGCACCAGCTTGCTTCAAGGCAGCAGCACAACCCTTACCGACATCTCCGTAACCGGCAACAAGCGCTACCTTTCCGGCAATCATAACATCAGTAGCCCTCATGAGACCATCAGGCAGTGAGTGGCGGCATCCGTACAAGTTATCAAACTGGAACACCAAACAAGATCAATACAACTATTAGTCTATGAGCTACATAATAACTATCTTTTTTTATAGCTAGATTCTGGAACACCAAAAATGATCAATACAACTATCGATCTATGAGCTACATAATAAGTATCTTTTTATAGCTAGATCAACTACATTAGACATCTCCAACAATTAAGGAAAGGATCATTACTTGATTCCTCAAACCAATATTGCTACCAACTCAAAAGACAGCAGCTTTTGCAAATGGATTGAACTTCCATTAGCCAAATATGGAACCAATAAGTAAACATCTAAACTAATCATGTTGCAATTCTTCAGCATAGTAGTATGTGGAACCAACCCATATGAGAAAGACGGGTACACTTATACAGTATGCATTAATCTAGAAGGTTAATCATTCTTTCCCTTTAAGAACACATCCCATATGAGAAAGACCGGTATCAAAATCAATTAGCACTTAAGATATCATCCACCCTCTATACTTACATTATGTTACAATTTTCTAATCAGTAAACATAAAAACAAAAACAACAACATAATACTATAACTGCAAATAAACACATGAGAAATGAGGCAAAATCAGAACTTTCATACTAAAGAAAGAACTTTCATTTCCACCACTTACCAAAACAATCAAGATGCATTTAGAAGATTCAACGAATCATTTACTCTATACTTAACAAAACAGATCAACCAACATTAAGCTAAATTATACTTCCTCTGTGTTAGATCCAAGCAATTAACAACCACTTACATCAGATCTAAATCACAACAAGCATATAAACACAGATCTGAAACACAAAAACAAAATAAATAAGTATGAAAACACATATATACCTTGCTCTTGGTAACAGAGTCATTAACATTAATAGCAGGGAAAAGCAAAGTTCCATTAGCCTGCATTTGGTAAAGTCTCTTAACACCAGTAGTAGTTTCCTCAGAAACACCAACAAGTCTCTCCTTCATCTTAGTGTATTTTAAAGGATCAGTTTTCAACCCGTCCCTAATAATAGTAAGCACAAGCTGAAACTCAGCATTATCAGTAGAACTTGGATCTGGTAATTTACCAGATTTAGCATATTCCTCTTCAGCTTTTACACCTTCATGAATCAAAAGTGTAGCATCACCACCATCATCAACAATCAAGTCGGGTCCACCACCGGGGCCCCAGTCAAGGGCGCGTTCAGTACACCACCAGTACTCTTGCAACGTCTCACCCTTCCACGCGAACACGGCAGCGCTATCACGCGCTATGGCGGCGGCAGCGTGGTCCTGGGTAGAGAAAATGTTGCAAGAGCACCATCTAACTTCGGCGCCTAAAGCGGTTAGGGTTTCGATAAGGACAGCGGTTTGAATGGTCATATGTAGAGATCCAGTGATTTTAGCGCCTTTAAATGGCTGTGACGGACCGAATTCGGTCCGACAAGCCATAAGACCAGGCATTTCGACTTCGGCAAGCTCGATTTCGAGCCGGCCGAAGTCAGCCTGAGACATGTCCTTGACCTTGTACTCACGGCCAGAGGTGGTTTTCTCGACGAGCAAAGCCATGGCTAGAGAGAGAGTGAACGGTAGAGAGAGAAAGTGGAAATGGAGGCCTCTCTTCAATGGGGTTTTTCGAAAGAAGAGAGTGTAGCGCAGAGGTATATGGAAGAGGGGAGTGATATAAATAGGTTTAAGAATGGAAATGGACGGCTGAGATTTGTTTAGAAAGCTTCGTTTTAGATCTGTAAAAGGGGTTGGTTTTACCGTCTGGATCGGGGTAATAGTCCCTATTACAGTGGAGAGATGGTAAAAATTCTAATAAACTTTTACTCTCTCTTTTTTTGTAATATTTCTCATGTTTTTTCATGTTTTTCATTTTTCCGGTTTTGAGAGTAAATTCATGACTTGATTACCAAAGAAATTAGAGTAAGATCATTTCCCTTGAGTTCAATGTATGAAATTGGAAAATTAAATTGGATTGTATTGAACTTTTATGACAAGCAATAAGTATTAAACTAATTCTAAAATAACAATTAACATCCATATAGTTAGTAATTAAACAAAAATAAAAACAATAAATAGGTGAATTGTACCACGATTTGCCCCTATTAGTATATTAACATGTTTGGTATTGTATGTTACATGCACACGTCCCCACTAGCAAGGACACAACCACTTCATAATAGTAGGCAATCGCCTTGAAGTTTTGAAAGGTAGCTCGATGTATAAGGCATCATACGTTCACGTAGGGTTCGGGGAAGGGCCGTATTTCTAGAAGTGTGATGCAAGCTTTAATGGTTATTTTTACGGTTCGAACTCGTGACATATATGTTATACGAAAATAACTTTATCACGTTGATCCAAGGCTTCTCTTCGACACCATTATATTTATAAATTATTAAATATTCTTGCCTTCTTTTATTTATCTCTTGCTTATCATTTGCAATCTACAATCATTTAATTGTGTTTTTTTTTGCCTGTTTACGGTTTAATATTTATACCTGATATTGTCCCACACAGAAAAAAAAAAAGATGGCAATGCCCCGACTCAACCTGTAGGTTCGCTAACATAAAGCGAGGAGTTGAACTTGAACTGACGACCGAAGTCACTTTCGCAAACATATTCAATTATACAAAAAGAGAAACCTATATCGATTAAGAATCGAAAGTAGTCATTCTTTAGACAAGGCCCATTTATTGTACATCTCTAATGTTTTACTCAGTTGAATAGAAAGAGTCAAAGTACTATAGTAGTTTGATATTTGTAACCTATGGCATACCCAAACCTCTTGAATTGGAGCTTCAACAACCAAGATTGTCGTTGTTATTTGGTACAACTAATTAATTGGAAGAGTCATGAGGAGATCCATTTCCTTCGATAATGAACACATATAATGTATATATTCCCTCCGATCGGATAATAAGTGACAAATTTGCTTTGGGCACATCTATTAAGGAAATACTAAATTCTAGACGAAAATAGTTAGTGTAACTAAACTGTCCTTCATTAAATGTTGCACCATAGTTATAGTAGCACTTACTTCTCTTCTCAAATGTGAGGAGTAAATGACTTTTTAGGATACGTATATAAGGGTAATTTTGAAAAACAAATTGAATTTTTTCTTGATATATAAATGAACACTTATTTTGGACCAAAATAAAAAAATAAACTGGTCACTTATTGTGGACCGAAGGGAGAACAATGAACTGCACTAATTTTAAATCCAAATAACTTACTTAGGATCCACCTCTATACGAGGAAATAGTTTAAGTACTAGGTTAAACAAGCATCAAGTACACAGGGCGGATCTACATGTTGATTTTGGGTGCTCAAGCACTTATTATCTTTGACAAGATTTAGTAAATTTGTATAGGTAATTATAAGTATATTTAGATGAATATTGATTGAGCACCCATAACTAAACTATTTTTTCCTCTTCTTTCAAATTTTTTATGTACATATAACCTAATCTACGCATTTAAAAGCTAATTGGTACTCTTCATTTAACTTAGGAAATTTGGCTTGACCGGCTACGTTTAATCTACCTTAATTTTGGTTCAACTTATAATTAGTACATCGTCATTTACTATCCAATTTGGGAAGATGTTCTCCCAAGGCACAACATGTAAGAGAGAGATATATCAAAATTATAGCCCGTTTGTCAAAACTTATAAAATCAGCTTATTTTGTATTTTTCTCAAAAATGCTTTCAAAATAGTATTTTTGGTGAGAAAAAAAATGTGTTTGACTAATCAATTTAAAAGTGTTTTTAAGCCACAGTTAGCGTTTAAAAAGTGCTTTCATTTGTATTTTCTCAAAAGTAAGGAGAAACTATTTTTTCGGCTTCTCAAAAATAGCTTCTGCTTCTATTCAAAATTATTATTTGGGGAAAATAACATTGTCGCTCTCAAAATAATAGCCAAAAAATATATGTTTATATATTTACATTTCTGTATGTTATATATAAAAATATACAAATTTTATATATTTTTGCCGCTATCATGTATAAATAATTTTGGCAATGGTCTAAAAGTGATTTTTCCCTATTTATTTCCTTCTAAATGCCTAGTCAAACATCTCAACTTTGGCAAAAAACATTTTTGGTCCAAAAAAAAAATCGGCCTAAAAAAACTTGGCCAAATACTACGTATTAATTAAGTTATGAACAACATATTCCAAGATCTATGCGTATGTACAATATTTATATCTATACCATATTAAAAGCACGAAGGCCCTTAGCGAAATATCTTTCGCCTTTTTTACCCTTCAAGAATGATTTTATATTGGATAATACTGTAATTTATGTTAATTTTTTATTATTTAGGACTTCAAAACCAACTAAAATTTTGATTATTAAATTTTCCTTATTTGAACTTTGAATAAATTCCTAACATTTAGGTTACATAAATCTTTTTCTTATTTTACTTGTGTAAATTAATAGCTTCTTCTTACACGTACATTATATATTTACTTATCATAATAGATCTATTCTAAGTCTTTAAATATTGAAGTTGACTATATATACATTCTAAACGAAACATATAGAGACACATTGGTAAGAAAGTATCTTCAAGTAAGTTTACAAACAACATGCCTACATTTGAAAATAATAATAGTTTATAGTAATAATAAATATTACAATATACTTTAAGTTTTTTTTACATGTTGTAATATAAACTTATATCATATCAAAAGCTCAATTACAATACTGAATAAGTAAAGTGTATATATGATACCCTAATTTATAAATTGAAATTAATAGCAATAAATTATACTGTAATTTATAAGAAATTTTAAGTTAGTTTTAAGTAAATCTTCCTACATATTTCCTTAAGATCTTTCCTTATTTAAACATGTAGGAAGTCTTAATATTTAAAATTTTAAAATTAATTAATATAATTATAATACCTTATATGTTACTCTTTAGAATATTGATACAATTTTATCCAGTATAAAATTTATTTCTAAAGAGTAAAAAGGTTGATTAAAATTTTGTGAAATTAATTTTGAATGAAAATTCAATACAAGATATTGATCGATTTTTTTACCCTTTAAACATATATTTTACCTTAGATAAAATTATCATTTAATTATTTTTTTAATATTTTAACACTTTGATATCAACTAATATTTTGCTTATTAATATTTTTTTTATTTTCACCATGTAGAAAACACTAATATTTACTCTTTTTAACCTAACTTAGTGGTAGTATTTAACTGAGCACGAAGTTTAAAAAAGACAAAAGATTTTAGAATTTATGGTCTAAACAAGCCACAAATGTTTATGCAGCTATAAATCATCTTTTTAAGAGCAAATTAAAAAGTTTAACATTAAATTATTTCTAAATAAAAAAGTATGAATTTTATTTTTGGGACATATTAGAAAAAGAAGTATGACACATAAATTGAGACAGAAAGAGTAGGATTTTAAAATCTAAGATTTTAGCTTATATAAATCATTCATTTCATGAATTAGGTAACGTAACTATAATTATTTCCAAAAATGTAGTAAGCCAAATCAAACAACTTTTTTTATGAAAAATCATTAGAAAACATGGGTTCAACGTTCTCTTAATTGCCTTCGGACACAATTAAAAGTACAATAATTTTTTATAGCAATTAAATAATTAAGATAATTAATAAATTTGAGTTTCTCGTTTCATGACAAAGCAAATACTTGTGCTAGATAGACACACAAGATTTTTATCCATTTAACTGAAGGATCAGCATTCTTCACTTTCAGAAACTTACACTTTTTTCTTTCATTTTTATTTTATAACTCAAGCATATATTTTTGATATTTATATAATTTTTTACAAAATCTTAATTCTCATTAATATGGGTACACGCACAACGAGCGTACCCTAAGACTAGTTAATCCAAATATGTCACGATCTTCCAAATGTCTTCACAATTACGGAGCTCGCGTGTGAATGCTACTCTTTTAATGAGCATATCAACCATACCCTTAGCTCCGGTTTGGTTATAGATTTTGGCTATTTTTTTAAAATAAATTAAAAATATTATTTTTTCATAGAATACGATCAGTTTTTGAAAGATAAATTTCCAAAAAACTAGTTTAGGATAGTTTTTGGATAAAATTTTTGCTTTCATCACAAAACTTTAAATTTTTTTTTTCAAATAAAATGCATCTTCAAACACCACTTTAACTTCCAAAAATTAATTTTCAATAAAATTTTAATAACTTTTTCTAGCTTAGCATCCTAGGAGATCGGAATATTTCTCCAATTTCGTCAAATTCCAAATAGTATTAATTAATTTTTGTACTTTCACCAACTCCCTGGTTTGGTAAAAGAGTTGTGTACTTCCTGTATGAGTGGACAAGCAGAAAAATAGGACAAAAAAAGTTGGTGGTAGTGGTTGAGTTGAATTTCTTAAGCAACCATATTTCATTGAAAAGGAATATAATACTAGAGGTGTTAATCGGCCGGTTGACCCGCTAACAACCCGGTTCAACCTGGCTCAGCTCGTTACTATGCACTCATGTGCGGGTTGGGACGGATTGGACGGGGGACGGGCTAGTAACGTTAAATTTTTGCCAAACGGGTACTCGAACCCGTCACAACCCGTTAAGCCCTTAACGGGTTCTTAACGGGCCTCGGCCCGCAAAACCGCCTAAACTATCAATAACATTGAAAAAA